CTCTGTAATTTGTTTTTTCAAAATTGTGAACTGTCCTTTTCAGGTTTTCAGAGGGGTGAGCCCATTTTATAACAGTTCAGATATTATTTGGAATATTTTCTTTCAAAATGGTATCAATTTTCAGTGTTTTGTTGGTTCCTTGTACATGTTCCTTGTAACTCATTGATGTTTTTCGCATGTATTTCCTTTTACTGACTGACACAATGAGGCAGGTGATTTTTGTTGACTTTTTGGGCTTGGGACAGTGACAAGATTTTCCCATGATGTGGCAGTGCATGCACTATCCGCCAGGCTCTTAACCCTGTCCTTTCCTTTATGGGTGCTTCTTTGCCTTCTCTGGGTTTTTAGATACATTATTTTAGGTTAGGGAACATTTGTATTTTTTGTCTTGACCTTAACAATAACAGTTATGTAACAGTAACGTTGTTTAGACTATCTTCTTGGTATTTAAAAATTGTAGAACTGCCTTTAGGTGTGGAAGAGTCATGCCAAAACTGGAAGTAACTTTACAAAATACAAATAGCCTTTCCTTCCTATGATATCCTTGGCCTCTTCCTACAACATATAATGTCAAATTGGTGACACTTTATGGTGTATATAAACATAAGTAGCCTCAAAATGTTGACAATTTGGGGCCAGTTCTACGTGGGTCCTGACCTATGGACTAGAGTAAATTCATCCAGATTATTTCCCCCACCCTTAATTAAAGCATAATGTGGGAGTAGTAAAACCAGCAATCTCTTTATTAAGGGTTTATTGCAAGTACTTGTATGTTGGTTTCTTTTAGGTCTGGCAACTGTGATTGTGAGTTGCTTCTCTTTATAGTTATCTTACCACAGAGCAATCTGTTGTGTATCATTCATAATGTTCTGTCAGTTACTGTGGAAATAAAGGAATTGAAAAATACTGTGCGGCTCAACTACACACATATTTCAAAAATCTCAATTATATTCTTCTGAACAAGTGGTGATGAAATTATTAAATATTTACAAAGCAGAAATCATTGCAGTAGTATTCTATAATCAAAGTCACCCACACATAAAAAGGCAAAACAGTGCTGAGCAATGTTGGCTTGTTGGCGCCCCCCAGTGGAAAATGGTAGATTGCCAGAGTCATCTGTGTACTATGGAAACCTTGGAAAAGGAGACTGGGAAAGGCAAAGTGGAAAGGTCACACACACACACACACACACACACACACACACACACACACACAATTACCCTCAAAATGGAGAAAGAGGGGGCTGGGGTTGTAGCTCAGTAGTAGAGCACGTGTAGAGCATGTGTGAGGCCCTGGGTTCGATCCCCAGCACCACATAAAACTAAAAGAAACAAAAATAAAGGTAGTGTGTCCATCTACAACTAAATATATATTTTTAAAAAATGGAGAACAAAATTTTGAGACATGGGAAAGAATTGACTTCATTTATTTCACAATTTTTAAAGGTTAGGGAGGAGCTATGAAGACTGTTATAAAACTGGTTCATTCTAGTGCCAGCACTGAGCTAGGACTTTACCTGTGAAAAGTTAACTGAGAGAATGTACCAGCCCTATGTGGTAAATTCTCTTATTTTCCCCATGTATAAAGTGGGGTTGCCGAGACGTGACAGCTAATTGAAGTGTCACTTTGCTGGGGTCCAACAGCCACTGGGAAAATGGGTTGGCTGAGTCCAGCATCTACACTTAACTGCTTCATTCTTTCTTACTATACACTTTATTAATAGTCATTTTCTAATCTTTTCATCTAACTAGAATGAGGCTTGCAACATACGTCCTTTTCCCTTATTGGCTCCTTAGTAATGAATCAATCACTTCTTGATGCAAAGAATAAAACATGCAATATGTTTCTAATGTTTTGATAACTGCAATATTAAGTATCTCTACCAGTGTGTAGAAAAGCTAAATACCATCAATGGATTATATCTGTTTTACTGAATTGAAAATATTACATTATTTAAGCAAGTTTGATCTAAGATGGTTCAATATCAGGGATAAGGTAAATACATCATTGCATGAGAGAAAGTATCATGTGATATTTTGTCTTTTCTAAGTAATGCATAGTGGACACATTATCTTCATTATAAAAACAGCTTCTAGAAAATAGAGGGCAGCCTGTTCTAAAATACATGTTTCTATTCTCAATGACTTATTTGGTACATAGTAATGGTTTAAATGGTTACAGAGAAGCTTCTAGAAATGTTCCCTTGTCAACATTCTTTCACCACAGCAGTATGCAGAGTTTCCAGTTGACTTTCTGCTCTTCTTCAAACCCAGACTGCAATCAGAGTAATGGAGGAAACATGTCCATTTTTTCTTACCAAATAAAATACTTGTTTCTTTCTATACTTAAACATTTTCACAGTTGTCTGGACCCAAAACCACACAGGCTGAAAGTAAAATATAAAATAGTTTTCTTGGAAAAACATTTGGTCTATGAAGTAATTGTCACTAAATACTTTTGGATTAACGAACTGGTTTTAAATGATATTTCTGGTAATTTAAATCTGGCAAAGTCTTGTATATTTCAGTACGCATATTTGGAACCCAGGAAAATATTACCTTGGAGAGTTTTATTAACTAATATAGCTCTAAATAATTTCAGTTCTCCTGAAACTCTCTCTCAGCAATATTCTACTTCTGTTTCTTATATGAGTTTTGCCAAAATTTGCTTAAATAATCTTTACATTGTTTTAATATATAATATTTTATACTTGGTGTTTTAAAAATAAGTAATATTTTAGCATATTTCTTATAGAAAATATTCTGACTTAATTTCTGTGAAATGTATATAATTTTTTTTGTGAGGACAAACAATAAGGGATTTTTTTTTCCTAATCTGGAATCTTCCACAAATAATCTCAATACCTGATATGTTGAAATGATTTAAGGTGTGTGGCTATGTGCTAATGTAAAAGAAGTTCAATATTAGAAGAAATCAGATAAAAAAGTGTCAAATCCCGGGAAAGAACTATAGGAAAATGGGTTCTCAAGAGCTCCTGGCAGGTGGAAGTCAGGGTACTGTTCTTTAATACTTGGGCATAAGTATAGTTCCTCATAGATGTGAAGAGACTGACTTTGGATGCAGAATCAGCAGTAGAGTCAGGTTATGTATAAGTGTTATATATAAGTAATCACTATTAATATCATAGATGGTGTAAGGGCACAGATATCTGAATAGTGATGGTAATCCTAAGTAGTAAAGAACTGTAGGCAGCAAGGAATTCAGCTGGTCATGTCTGACAGTATCATGGATAACTATATGTCCCCTTTGGGGATTCTGGGATCAGGGGACATCTCATTGAAACAATTGCACTTATTTTCCAGTGTAGAACAGCATATAGTCACTTTGCTCCTGATAATATTTTACAAACAGATTTTTAATTCAACTCAGAACTTAGTCTAAGCTTCAGTAAATTTACATGTGTGGGTGTGTTATGTATGTGTATTTGGGAAGAGTGGCTTCTCAACAAATCATGGCCTTATTTTGAACCATGTTTTTGATAATTGATTGTATAGAAAATATGCATTTTCTGTCTTAGAAGAACTGGATTTATTTCCATCTGTTTTCCTTAAAACTCAATGATTTATTTTTATTTTATGTTTTAAAAAGCTTTGGGGACATAATGTATTCATGCTTCCTAATGTTTAAAATTTCAATTTACGTTTTTTTATTCTCTAGTATGTTTATAAAGAATTGTTTTGTCAATAATATTTTGAGCCCCTATTGATAGGCATTACTGAGATACAACTTTTGTTCTCAGTTGAGGGTGTAGTGAAATGGAAAATAAATTGAGATGAAGAGCATCAAATTGTGAAAGAAATTTACCTGAATTCCAAGTTCAGATTCTAAAACTAGAATTATGTGCTTGTACCTTGCATTACAGTTATGGCTAAACATGGGTCAGTATTCCATTCAAAAACTCAAGATGTGAAAAAAAGCGAAATAATGGCAGACTCTCCATGTAGTAGAAGTAGTTGATCCTATGGATACTGGTGACTCTCCACCTGCCTTCAATTATTGGAGAGTGCTGCTGTTCTTTGAAAGCTTTGATGATGCAGAGGTTTTTCAAAGACATCTTAATGGGTTCTAAATTCCTTGTCATTTAATTTTCCTATTCTGCCAGAGAGTCAATATGTATTTAGAAAAATAAATGTTAATCATTTCAACTGGAGTGTCATCAGGAAAGGAGCTAAGAAAAGTGAATGAGAAAAGAAAATTGATTATAATATCATCTTTGTTTTGTGTGACAAATAGTCATTTTGAGTAAACGCACTAAAAGACTTAATAATTGCTTTCCCACTAATAAATGTGTTAAATCCATCTTTATATACGTAACATTATTCTTCTTTGAATCTTGCTAGAGAACTTGTACTTTTAGGCTGAGCCATATAAAATAATTCTTTGTGCTTCTTTCTTTCTGTCTGCAAACTGGTGCAAAAACTTCATGATTGCACCAGTAGGGATCATAAGGAGAGCTTACTATGGGTGTTTTGAGACTCAGATTGGAGGAAATAATTTTATTTCATTAATTTTTAAGGCTGAGATTGGGAGAGCCTTGAGAACTGTTGTACTGAATATGAACTCCTACCAGTTGACAGTGTTTCTTGCATTACATATTATAAATCATTAAGATGTGTTCAAATGAAATTTCCTTTTTATCGTTTGTGTTTGTCTGAAAGAAGAACCAAGATTTAATTCCTTGCAGTTTTTTTCTTTCTAAAAGTCTTTATTTCAAGGTTAAACCATTAGTAGATGTTCACCTAATGCTGAATCACATAAATTTTTCCTTATCCAAAATTGGATTATTGCAGATAACACTTTTATACTGTAATATGGATGATAAAAGTTTTAAATTATGCATTATTTACAAATTTACATATTTATACATATTTTACAGATATACATGCTTGCAAGTTACATAAAATTTTAATTATGACTGATTCTTCTTTATTGATACAGTCTGTAATTTTTAAATTAAAATCTGTTTTGTTTGTTTTTAGGGAATCCCAGGATTTCCTGGAAACCAAGGATTAATGGGCCAAAAGGCAAGTATTAATGATTTGGAAGGACTGGTCCTGGATCTGCTTATTAAGATTGAAGAGGTGATGCTGACCTTCACACAGAATATATATTTACAGCATTTATGACAACAGCCAGCAATTCAAATATGATGTATATTCATAAGCTCTTTTGTGAAGTATATAGATAATATTAATTTGGATTTACCCATATGTGTGTTGTTTTACTTGATTACTTCTCTATCTTGTGCTTTAAGACAACCTTTTTGGGATAATTTTATTCTTCCTGAACTGTGTCTTTAGCTGTTCCTTTGCATAAATATCTTAGAAGTAAACTTTTCAGCTTTTTTAAAGTATAAAGTTCCTTTTTTTACTTAGTTTTGAGAGATAAATTTGTACAATATTTCAACCCCAAATTGACTATTATTTTTTTTTAATAAATTGAGGGGTTTTTTTTCCATTGTCTCCTGATTTCCATTGTTAATTAACACCATAAAATTTGCTGTCATTTTAACTATCATTCTTTTGTAAATGATCTATTCCTTCCTTTTGGGTTCTTTCAAGGTATTTTATTTATTTTTATTGTTATGAAACTCGCTACAATGTGTCTAGAAGTGGACTTCTCTATATTCATCCTGCTGGGAATTCAGTTTTCTTCCTGGCTCTATGAAATAATTTCTGTTAATTCCTGAAAAATTCAGCTGTTATCTTCATATTACCTCTATTCTCTCTGTTCTCTATTTCTGGAATACCTTTTTAAATTTTTTTTTTATTTTTGTAGTTGGAGATGGACACAATGCCTTTATTTATTTGTTTATTTTTATGTGGTGCTGGGGATCGAACCCAATGCCTCACACATGCTAGGCAAGTGCTCTGCCACTGAGCTACAGCCCCAGCCCTCTGAAATATCTTATTCCTTCTAATTTTATACTCTATCTCTTAACACCACCTTCAATTTTCATTTCTTTAATTTTGTCTTGTGTTCTGGCTGAATGTTTCTGAATATGCCTTTTACTTTACTTATTCTTCCTTTACTGAGTTGAATCTTTTTTAAACTAACAATTTTTTTTAAATTTAGAAGAAATCGTATTTTTAACTTGTAGGAGCTCTAATTTTTCAAACCATATCTTTTTTTTTCTTAATAGTCTCATATTTTCAGACCTGATAGTTTTTCATGATTCTATTTTTTGATTTTTAAAGATCTCATATGTAGTTTTAAATTTCAATATTTGTACTTTGTTATTCTGTTCCCTCTCGATTGTGTGACTTGCTGTCCCCTGCTTCTTTATTGTTGATTGTGAGCTCATTGCTTTATTTTCATCTGGAGGGAGTTCTATCAGCCTTGCTGGGAAATGGGGCGCTGTTACCTGGTAGCCTCAGATAGCATTTTAGTCCACTTTGAAATTTCAAGGTTGTCATGGCTATTGAGATTTCTGCCTCCTCCCCATATCTGGCCCACATTGTTCCCCAATAGCTGAGCATGCACCCTTAACCACTCATCTTTTTGGGTTCTACATCTCTACCTTTGGCAAGATTTCTTCACAGTTCCAAATCCTTGCCAAATATAGCTTCAACCAGGTGCCTTTGGTAGAATGGCAAGTGTCACTCCAAATTTCACAATGAAATTATAAGACAGCGATTATGCAGAATCTAGCCCCAGGTCTCTAAGGTGTTAAATTCCTGATATTTCTGCTTTACCTGGCTATAGTATCAAATTAGAATGACTAATATTGAATTTTCATTTTGTAGTGCTTTGGTAGAAAATTTCTGAGAATTATTGATATACAAGGTTTAAAATATGGTCTGTATTTGATTTTTAGGGAGAAATTGGACCTCCAGGACCACTAGGAAAAAAAGGAGCTCCAGGGATACCAGTAGGTCAAAATTGTTATCATGATGGTGTTTAAAATGTTGTTACTAAGTACCAGGAGTTTGTGTTTTGGAATTCATGAAACTAGATAAGATACAACAATGAGATTTTTGAAGTCCACAAATTTCATCCATTTGTATTTAAAAATTATAGATTACCATTTTTTTTTTTTGAGGTGTCAAGATTTCTTTAGACTCTCAAAGAGTTGGTCACTTTAAGGTCAAAGTCAGGATTGGTAATGCTTGCTTGTAATCCTAGCAAGCTGGGAGGCTGAGACAGGATGATTGCAAGTTTGATGCCAGCCTGGGAAACTTAGTAAGACACCACCTCAAAATAAAATAAAAATCTTAGGATGTGACAGAGCACCCCAGTAAAAAACAATAACAACAACAACAACAAAAAAACCACACACACACCATATAATTAAAAAACTAATATCAGGACCCTTACTGTAGAAAAATCAGAAAACAAATATGCTAATTATTCATTAAAAAAGAATACTAGCTGGGCACAGTGACACATACCTGAAATCCCAGCGACTTGGGAGGCTGAGGCAGGAAGATTGTGATTTCAAAGCCAGCCTCAGCAAAAGCGAGGCACTAAGCCACTCAGTGAGACCCTGTCTCTAAATAAAATACAAAACAGGGTTGGAGATGTGGCTCAGTGGTCAAGTGCCTCTGAGTTCAATCCTTGGTAACCCCCAACCCCCCAAAAAAGAGTACTAAGAACCATGAGAAAGTATAAAACACGATGAATATTCTTTTTTCATTTTTAATAATTTATAAAAAAAATGAAAGATAATGTATTCAGAAGAGGTCATATGCAAATGTTTCTAAACCAGTGAAGAAATTGTTTTAGAATTTTCAGGAGTATAAGAAACATATGAGTTTTATATTGAAAATTCAATTATGTATGCAAGATTCCAGAGAAATTGTAAGTTTATTGCTAGACATGATGTTGATCTTTAATTTATGAATCAAACTGCCTCTAATAGCTTTTTATTCAAGTAAAACAGATCATTTTCACATTTGAAGTTGATGACTTTAAATTATAAAAAATAGATAAATTAAAAACCAGACTTAGTGAATGAAAGATTTGGTGAATTTTGCATGCCAGAGTAAATAAGGAAAATGTCTATTAAGTATGCATTCAAATTTTAAGAAGACTTAAAGAAGTATCTTCCCTTCAAAATAGAATACTCTTCCTCTACTTTCACCATCACTACCAGGTTATATATTAAAATAATCAATTAAATTTAGTTATTAATAAAAGCTATCTAGAAAAATGGAGGAATTGACTAGTATCCATTGACCTCAAGAATAGCTATGTGTAACATTTCTAATATTTGGCACACTTGCTATGAACTAGCAAATTTCATGTTTTGTAGTGGCAATAACATTGTAACTTGACAGCAAAGGATTGTAGTGTCATGGTGTTTTTATTATGAACATACTGAAATTATGCTTTCTAATATTTGAAATTTTTCCACATTACATTTCCTTTGTCAAGTGTTTGTATGTGTGCATGCATGTATATCTATTTATAGTGCATATATATATATATATATATATATATATACACATATATATGTATATATATGTAATGTGGAATGTGGAAATGCATATATATAATGTATGTGTATATATATATATATATATATATTATCATATAATTTCTATATAATAGTAGTCTCTAAATTAAATAAGGTCCTACTTGCCAAAGTAGTTATCATTTTCTTGTTTTGAACCAAATGATTAGTTAAAAATGTGGCAATTTTGTAACTTGAGGAAAGGTTATTATAGTCAGAAAATGTTACATTGTAATTATCTTAAAATATTGTTCAGGATAATAGAAGTTTTAAGCAATGTTGATTGAGATAATACCTATGAAGAAAACTGCTTCTTAGCCATCATGACAAATTGAACAGTTTGAAAAAATAAACATTTCCTCACATAAAGATTTCTTTGCTCTTTTTTTTTTGGTCTTTTGGACATCAGCATTATAAGGGCTCTGCTAGCCTTCATTCTGTCTTGCGGTTTTATTTTTTTATTTTTGTTTGAAGGTACTACATTATGATTTTGTGGATTAATTACGAGAATGTGTAACGTGGAAATGCATTTACTATTTTAAAATATTTTTCTCTAAATCACTTTTGAAATTCCCACTTTAAAATGTAGGGTTTGATGGGAAGCAGTGGCTCACCAGGTCAGCCTGGCACACCAGGATTGAAGGTAGGTATGATAAGGGTCATAAGATTGAGAGCTTATAGGATCACAGTGACCATTTATAACTTCAGTGACAATTTTAACTATGTTGATTCTATTATGAATGCGGTTTTCATTCTACAAACACTCACTTGTAAGGATGAAACCTTAGACAAAAGCTCAGCATTTGAAACAGGCTAAAATAAATCAGGTCAGGCTTAAGCTGGAGATGGGGCAGAGTCCCTCATTAGTTGGTCTCTCCTTCCTTTTAGGTGTTTCAAGGAGCATTGAAGAATGCTTAGAGCTTATTGGAGCTTGGAGATAAAGGCACCAACCCAAGAGCATTCATAGTTATGATTGAGCAAGGCTCTTATCAGTTTTCTAGTCTTCTTTTTTGATATTTTTATTTATTAGAATGCATATGGATTTTTAATAAATTTTGTTAAAACACATGCTACCTTATTCCTATGGTTAAGATAACATTCTATCTTTACTTTCAGATTTTTTTTTAAAAATGTAAGGTAAGCTTAACAAATACATTTAGAACATCAGGTTAGGTTATCCTTAAGGTAAAACTGAAACTCTTTAATATAACAGTTTGACCAGTCTGTAAATATAGAGTCTTGTGTTAAGAGACTGATTTTTCCCCCTTGCTTAGATTTAGCTTGTGGGCCAGTTTACCAGCTTTGTCAATGAAATGCTTGTTAACTATGCCTTCCATATTGTCTAGAAATTCTAAGGTGGGACAAAGAAGCTGTATACATAAGACCGAGAATAAACTAAGTTCTTTTCTGGACTAAACTCAGGAAACCATTCCCAACTGTTTAGTGTATAGATTTTAGGATAACTTTCCAAACGGAAGTGATGGAGTAGCTGTTTTGGAAGCATTCAGCCTTTGACCAGACAAGGTTCCAGGGGAAAAGACCCTGGCATACCAGATGAGGAGATGATCTAATCTAGTCTATTTTTAATTTCTAAAATATTTAAAGAAAAAGGAAATATTGAAATGAGTCCAATGATACGGGAAAAGTAGCTACTCCTTTATTGGTGATGAATCCTGTGGATGTTTGGAGTATCATGAGTCCTAGCAGCGGTAGGTGTCAGAATTAGTATAAAACCCTTGAATGAATGGGCTGGCTAAGTAGAAGTTCTTCATAGATAAGGAGGATATAGAGTAGGTCTCTCCCATTGTCTTCTGAATGCCCTAATTCTTAAGATTGCAGCCTGACATTTCATCATCTTTTTTACACGACACATTACACTATTGGCTCACACTGAGCTGAAGGTCTATAAAACCTACTGGATTTTCCATAAAAAGACTTTAGAACAATGCTTTTATTTTAGCATCCACTATTTGAGTAAATGCTGGATGTATAGGCAATTAGCTGGGTTAGCAAGTAGCTGTTTGCTCACATTTGTTTATTTTTATATGATTTCCTAATAGTTGTTTTCCCTCATCTTGCACTTTTTGCAAAGTTTTCCCTCATCTTGCACTTTTTGCAAAGAACCAGATATTAAATATTTTTGGTTTTGAGGGTCATATTGTCACTCAGTTTTGCTGTTGCAATATGTGGCATCCATGGGCAATATAGAAATGAATGAGTTTGGAATATGACTGTGTTCTGATAGAACTTTATTTCAAAAACATATGTTTGGCTGGATTTAACTCAGTTAACTTAACTGTGCATTAGCATATTACTGAGAATTTTATCAACTGTTTATCAATTCTGTACCTTCAGTAGCATTGGTAGAAGTTCTAGCTACAGTGTGACAAAAACACTATTAAATAGTGTATGGATGAGGCTGACACTCTAGTTGATCTTCAGAAATCTTCCAATTCAGATTACAATTCCTCTTTTAAAAATATTCATTAATATTTATTAGCCTACTTTTTCATACTACTATATACTTAAGTTTTTTAACATTAAATAAATTATATTAAGATATATTGGCATAATCAAATCATGTAACTTTGGACAAGTCTTGTCACTTCTGTGAGTTTTAACCAATCACTTGTAAAATTAGAAATTTTAAGGAACCATTGTTTTATGATTCCATAATATTATGCTTAAATGCCTAAATTAAATCCAAATATTACATTCATGTGTTTCTTTTCTTTTCTTTTTTAAAGAGAGAGAGAGAGAGAGAGAGAGAGAGAGAGAGAGAGAATTTTTTTTAATATTTATTTTTTAGTTCTTGGCGGACACATCTTTGTTTGTATGTGGTGCTGAGGATCGAACCCGGGCCACACGCATGCCAGGCGAGTGCGCTACCACTTGAGCCACATCCCCAGCCCCACATTCATGTGTTTCTTACCATGAGTTGTCTAGAAAACATTTTAAAAGTTGTAAATTTTCTTTACTTATTAGTGAACCCAAGTTGGTGCTAGGTGATCATTTCTTCCCCTGATAGATGCATACTAACTAACCTGTTTAATTAGGAGCTTTTGTCAGACATGGGCTTGTGATTTGGGGTATCCAAGTGTTTGAAAACCATAACTATATTTGACAATCTCACCTTATTAGCCAGCAGATTTTGTGTGTTTTTTTCTCTCTCTCTCAATATCTATCTATCCCTCCCCCCCACTCTCTCATACTGTTCTCTTTTCCTATATTAATTTTTGTGCTTTGTCAATTTGGTCTTGCTTTCCAAATTTTCATCTGTTAGGACTTCATCAGAATCTTCAAAAAAAACCTAAACATTTTCTGATTCATATTTCTTGAAACAAACAAACAAACACCCATTGCATATTTGAAGCTACGTTTCTTTTCTTCAATTACATACTGAAGGTGAGTCCTACTGAAAAAGAGAAACAAGACAAGGATTAGGATTCTCATCCCAGGAGATGCTGTTGAAGTTCATGGCTCCCACCTGTGAGGTGTGGAGACTCAGCTAAAGATTTTCTTCTCTTCCCCTATACTTGGAGCTACCAGCTTTAACACTTGCTTTTAAACAACCTTATAAATATGCAGGCTCAGTAATTTGCTTAAATGAATTTCTCTTAATAAATGAGTTTCTCTTAATTTATAGCATCTGTTTCAAGCAATCGGAAAGCTGAAAATATAAAGCTTATTTTAAATATATTCTTTTAAGTGTCTGTATCAGATTATTGTGACTATGTTTTTTTTTTTTTAATTCAAATGTTTTTGATGCATTGATAGGGAAGCAAAGGTGAGCCTGGACTTCAAGGAATAACTGGACCTTCTGGGCTCAAGGTAATTGTTGTTTGATGCATTTGGAATATTTTCAAAGAAATTATACACTCCATTTATTAATTAGGAACATTATCATTTTTATCACTTAAAAATGTACTTGAAATTAAGGATTACCTATATTACAAAATTAATATACATGAAAGGAAATGGTCAATATAGGATTTCATTTTTATTTTTTAGATACTGTATCCTTGGGTAATAAAGACATGAAATAAACTTAGGCTTATTTTTTTTTTCTAGAAATGATATGTTATACCCTAATGAGAATATACTTTTCTAATCCAAAGAATGCAACTTTCTTAAGTGGTTGACTCTCACAAATGCATTTTCTTCAAGCCAAATGGTTGATGTTTATTTCAATAGAATTTAAACTTCTTCAGTCTTTAAAAATCTAGAGCAATATTTAATATCTCAGGAGTAGACACAATGAGCAAAGAGAATACAACTTAGGGTCTGGGGATGTAGCTCACTGGTAGAGCCTTTGTCTTGCATGTGTGAGGCTCTGGATTCTATCCCAGCACCAATAGAGACAGACAGACAGACAGACAGACACACACACACACACACACACACACACACACACACACTCACACAGAGATAGAGAGAGAGAGAGAGAGAGAGAGAGAAAGAGAAAGAGAGATAACTTTGTTTTCATAAGAGAGTGAACCATAGTAAAGTGATAGTTTGAGACTAATGACAAAACAAAACCTCAGGAAGCATGTTCAGAATCATGTTTTCTCACACACATATTTTAAATATTGTCATTTTTTTTTTTTACAAATCCTTATTTCAGAAAGGAAAATCTCTACAGGATGATGGGGAATGAAGAAATTGAGTTAACTCATATATAATATTTCCTGTACTGAAAACAGTTCATGAATTTATTTCTAAGACAATAACATTCCATATCTATAAAGAACAAAATATAAACTTGCATAAATTTATGTACAAGAATGTTTGTCCCAACAATATAAAATAAAAACCATGAAAACTATAATGTAAATAGTATGAATTTTATTAAATAAAATAGTAAATTAAGAAAGTTGAATATTCTTCTGTAATCGAAAACATTTTTAAAGTATGTAATGTAACATAAACAGCTTCATAATACTAATATGTTTGAAGGTTAAAAGACATAAAATTATGCATATGTAGTGAGCACATTTTGTTAGCTAAACTATATGTAGTGAGTTGGAATGAGACAAAAAATAATGAAGTAAAAATAGTGGGTAATGAACTTTTCAATAACTTCTTGTTTATCTGATTTGTAACAAAAAAGTGTCTTTTTAAGTAGCAATATGAGAAAAAGCAATCTTAAAGACTAGAAGAAGGTTATAGTAAACTTACAGTAACAAAATATCTGTTTATTATTTTATATTAAATGATTATTCAGTTCATTGTTATGGATATGAAGTATAATAAAAATACCACATATTTATAAAATTTTAAAATATGAATGCTATCAGTCTTTCAACTGGCAAAGGTAGGAAATTTTATTGGGATGCCAATAAACTTTTCATTCTTTACAAATTTCTATGGTAATAAGTCTGTCCACCCATTTTTTAACTGTGTATCTTAAATTTGAAATGTTATGGAGAGATAAAGCAGTGGTGTTTTTCACAAGCAGATCTGTGATAGTCACAGAATTTCTGTTTTCTAGGGAGAACCAGGAGCAAGAGGTCTCCCAGGGGAACCTGGATATACAGGCCTACCGGGAATTCAAGGAAAAGCGGTATTCATTGTTTAATATTTATACATCTCTTTTATTCAGTCACATTCATTTAAGTTTTCCTCTCATAAAATTGGCATACAGGGCTGATTATGTTTGTAATGAGATGCCTCCTTCCATCTCTGGTCTCTGTGGAATGTGTTCAGTCCCATGCTTAGTAGCTCTGGCATCTCTCCCCTGTAAGGGCATTATCTCCTATATGAAGACCTGAGAAGAAGCACGCAAATCAGAAAATATAAATATACCATTAAAAATTTGAGATTTTTTTTTTTTTTTTTGCAGTCAATTCAAATGACCCAGGAATTTGCTTTTATTCATCATCTGGCACTCTTGGGCTGGGGATATAGCTCAGTTGGTAGAGTGCTTGCCTTGCATACACAAAGCCATGGGTTCAATTCCCCAGCACTACAAAACAAACAAACAAATAAAAAAAACAAACATGTGCCACTCTTACCAAAATATGAACACAATTCTTACCAAAATTGGGACAGAATTCTGAGAGGGTAAAAATTACAACTACAATATTTGACCATGAATTCCTGTTTATAACTCTGTTACATAGAGTTTCACTGAAAATTATGTTTAAAAAACAAATCATCTATCTCATTTTAAATGTTTTGATGAGGTGTACCAGTAACACTAAGTGTCCTCCCGCTCCTCTCCCTCTTTCTCTCATTTTGGTCAAGTAAAGGAATCCTGAATCCTGAATCTGTCTAAAAACCATTATTTTTTGGAAGGCATTCAGCAACAATGGAGTGCATGTGCCAAAGGAGTTCATGCTCAAGCAAATTCAGTATTTCAGGTTAAAAGTAAATATGCTGTTATTCTGGAAAGACACAAACCCATACATATGTTTTCATCTCCCTGGTGATTTCAGTTTTCTACCATTTTATTTTGGTTTCCCTTTTGTATAATCTACTTTGCCTCTAGATTAGGACACACACTTCTTGACCTTTTTATTCCAATGGGCGGAAGACATCCTTTGCTAAGACAGGGATGACCCCTCATTAAATGTTAGTGGATGTTAAGTAAATCTTTGGGGAATGAATGTTAGGACTTAAGAGAATTTTTCTTATTAAAAAATATGTCATTAAAAAGAAAATCTGTATTTTTTGTAAACTCTCAACTCTGATTAAATAGGATGATGAGGTAGAAACAAAATTTGGAAACAGTGTCCCTTCAACTTGGGTCAAGTGCTTACCTTTCCTGATAGCAGTTTCATATCTATGAAATGAGGGCATTGTACCAGTCGGTCTCTCATTTCCCTTCTAGTTGAGAAATTGTGAAACTTATTATTATGGAATATGAATTTTCCTTCAAAAGCCCATTTGAAGTATTTGTTTTCTAAAATATCATTTAAACAGCAGCGTGTTTTACTTTGTCATTGTTTCCTATAAACTTGTGGCTACTATTAGTTTAATGGAAGATTTTCAGTTTGATTTTATAAAACAATGTTTGTCAAAATAAGCCCTCTTCTGTTATTTTGTTTAACCTCAAACTATGAACAATATAGAGAAATGTTCTTCCTGGTAAAATAATGTAGGAGAACAAGAGTGTTCTTCCAAAATATAATTTTGGCATAGTATGGTTTTACTGTCTCCCAAAATAATTGGATCCGGAGTTAGCTTCTGTATATGAAAGCACTGTTGGAATTTGCTAAAGAAAAACATGCTCATTTTAAAAGATATAAAATGTGCTAGATTATAATATCCATTAACTGCTTTTTTGCAGGGGGACAAAGGAAATCAAGGAGAAAAAGGCAGTCAGGTATGTTGCTTTATTTTTGTTTGTTTTTGGCATAGTAATAAAATGAGGACTCTGTCCTGTTAAATTCTTTTAAAGGTTTTACAATTTCTTCCTGTTTCACCATGGATTTCTGATTGTTCAATCCTATCTTTCTCCTTTTGCTACTGAGTTTCCCAGACAACATCTAATGTGGCTTCAAGATTCTTTACCATTTTGCTCTGGTAGAAAACTTAAGAACAAAATGATTCCACAAGATAAAGACAGATTTTATTACGTGCTTCTGACACCATTTGATTTAGATATTCATAGTGTGCATACTTTATGGCAAAAAAATTTGATGAGAAACCACTAGTACCAAGTTAGAAAATATGTTCAAGCGAATATGTTGAGGGATAATTTATACTAGAAAATGATATTACACTTAAGAAAACCAGGCACTTTAGAAAGACATTCAGTTTTAGGTATCCTGGCAACAAAGGCAAAGGAGAGCCCTGCTTCTATTTTAGAAGACAAGGATAGTACCATCTTAATTAACGTAAGTGACTGTAGAGTGTTTTTTTTTTTTTTAATTTTATTTTTAATTTTCATTAACTAAAGAAAGACACAGGAATAGGAAGCCCTTAGCTGAGTCAATGATATACTTATCTGACATAAGTTTTATCTATTATTTCTTAAATTTTATAAATTTTGAAAATGATACTTAAAGTAAAAAAAAAAAACATTTTGAAACAGGTCACAAATATAAAAATCATGGAGACATAGGAAGAAATTTCAAATTGAAGTAATAATCATTACAGTCTGCTAAATTCATAGTCTCAGTAGTCTTTTCTCATAAATTTATTCTTCATAACATGTATGAAATCTTGTAGAGTGGCATGTCAAAATTCAGGGATTTTCCCAGTTTATTTTTTCAACTGAAAAATCTTCAAGTATTATTATAATTACCTTAAGTTAACCTTAAAATTTGTAGTGAGGTAAATTTTCAGTGTCTCTGGGTTCCAGACCTGCATGTTCCAGTGGCCTTCTTGGTATTACATTTGGATGCCCCAAATTCAACTTGTACAAAATTAAATTTGTTGTCTTTCCCCATCAACCACTTCCTGCTCCTTATACTTTGTCACAGTAGTTGGTACCACCACACAACCACCTCCTCACCCTCATAAAAACATTGTAGATTGACCCCAAACCTTCTTTCTCTCTTTTCACATTCAGTCGTTCAATCAGCTATGAACTACCTCTTGAATGTGGTCCCTTTTTGCTGTCCCCACTATCCTAATTATTTCTTATTGGGGGTCCTGGGTTACTGTGATGTTTTCCTAAATGCTCTCTTGAGCCCCGTGGACACTCTTCTTCCTGTACTTTCATCAACATGCAGTACCTACATCATGCACCTGCTTAGGAATCCTTTAACAGTGCCCCACACATTCAAGATAGTCTGTTCCATAAAGTGCCTCCTGGTTTGATGGAATCTTCTTTTGCAAAGGTTTTTTTTTCTTTTCTTCTTGTGTCTCTAGCCCCTATTATCTATTCTTGCTCAGCTGCTTTAACCAAAAGGAGCTGCTTGCTCTGCCCTTTGCCTGATTTCTCAATCTCACTCTTCATTCTTTTCCTTAAAAGGCTGCTTCTCACTTATCCTTCCAGGTTGCACTCAAGGGTGAGTCACCTTCCCTACCTTCTCAAATGTCCCTTCCTAAATTCCCAGCCCAGATATTTAACTATATATTGTATACTTATCAGGCACTATTTTTCTCATTCTTGATGTAAGTGCCTACCTTCTCACCACACATTCCTGACACCTTTGTTTCACTGTCCCTACATGCCAACAAATAGGTGCTCCTCAATAAATATTGGGAATTCACTTATATAAGGAAATGAATGTTGATAGGCAAGAATGATTTAAAATTTTAGTCACTAGATCATTCATTGTTATATTATTAGTCATTAATCTTCTTAGAAACTACTAATTAGCCAGTAGTGGGGCTGCACACCTGTAATTTCAGCAGCTCTGGAGGCTGAGGCAGGAGCATTTCCAGTTCAAAGCCAGCCTCAGCAAAAGCAAGGTGCAAAGCAACTCAGTGAAAACCTGTCTCTAAATAAAATACAAAATAGTGCTGGGAATGTGGCTAAGTGATCAAGTGCCTCTGAGTTCAATCCCCAGTACTCCCCACCACAAAAAAAGGAAACTATTAATTATCTTGTCTAATGTAGGGTTGTAGTGCTTGAATCTGGCATAATGTCTTATTTTGATATCAAAAATATTTAATAGAGAAATGTGGTTTTAGCTTTTTAATTTTTCTTTTATTTGTCCTGCTTTAAAGATTTTTTTCAAATGTTGTCTTACTAAAATATAATAGTACATTTTTAATTTTTTAAAGAAAAATTTAAAAGTAGTTAAAACTAAATATATGTTTGTCATTGAAGTTATTAAAATGTTAACATCCATTGGGTTTTAAAACTCTTCTCATGCTCTGTGGATGGTAGAGTTATTGCCTATTATGTGCAAGGCCCCAATACAAAACAAAAACTAAACAACCATTTTCTTGTACAATATCCTCATTATTTGAAATTATTTACATGTTCCCTTGAAATCAGTTGTTTGTTCCTGTCTCTATTCATTTAACCATTAGCTTTAGATTGACTGCTTCTCACTTCTTTTTTTCTCTGATTAACCAACTTTCCTATTAATTTATACATATTTATATCACTGCTTTTGTGATATTTCTTTGAGACTTCAGGATAATGTATAACATATTGCAGATGTGATCATATCATATGTATAAAATAATCATTAATGTTTATTAAATTTTAAAGGGACAGAAAGGAGAAACTGGAAGACAAGGGATTCCTGGGCAACAGGTATTTTTGTTTTTCTTTCATAAAAAATGAAATAACGAGCCACATAACTGGGCCATGCTGAGAGAAGTTTAGTTTGAAGTAATAATGATTGAGGCAAGCGTAGATGTAACACACTTTAAGCATAGAAGGATGGAACTGCTGGGTGGTAGTGGAATAATGATTTTGTTTTTATATTTTCATTTTCTAATCCTGATAACAGTAGTGGCTGTGAACTTTGGCTTATAGTGTCTCCCCCCACCAACTCTGGCTAAATTATTGACTAAATGTAGAAAATTTTACCTGTTTCTTAGGGTAACCCTGTTACTGACCAGAGGCAGCTGGCCATATATCCATATTTCCCATTTAATCTTTTCTTCTTTAAATGTTTATAGTGGGGGGCACACATGGTGAAGGAATGTTACTTGTTTCCCTGTAGTTTGCTCAGAGAGATAATTTACTACTCCAGAGACTTACTAAAATGCTCTCCCTAGGGACTGTGTTGTGAAACAAATATATAAGAAGTTGCTCTGCTTCTCCCCTGACTGAACCCTTCTCATTAGGTAATGCTCCAGTGAGATGCCATGTGGCACATAAGATCAGTCAGAGCCAAAAGCACGGAAGTGATTAATACTTATGTAGCATGTTTGCTGCTGTAGTGCTATAACTTCAGTGTCAGTTCAATTCTAGTTTGGACTGGACTGAAAGGGCAAGCTGGATATGTGAGTCTTCCCATGAGGTGGACCTCTTGCTCTGAATGTGGGTAGAAGAAAGATTGAACAATTATACCAGCTCTGTAGATAGGGTAATAAAACTATAGCAGTATCTCTCTGGGTCCCTCACTTGGAGGAATATGATAGCCCACCGAATAGTGTTTGAAGATATATATATATATATATATATATATATATACATATATACACACACACACACACACACACACACACACACACACACCGGACACTATGGTGCACACCTGCAATCTGAGTGACTGTGGAGGGTAAGGCAAAAGGATCACCAATTTCAAGGCCAGCCTCAGCAACTTAGTGAGACCCTGTCTCAAAAAGGGTTAGGGATGTAACTCAGTGGTAAAATGTTTCTGGGTTCAATTCTTAGTAAAACACACACACACACACACACACACACACACACACTCATCATACACAATTATATTAGTTTGTCTGTAATATAGAATGGAGGTAAGTGCTACATTTTAAGAATTTAGAAGCTAACAGTAGAATCAAAAGCCACTGAAAAGAAATTAATTGAGTGTGCCTATGTAAAATTAAAAGAAAGATCTCTTAATTTTTGTGTTCCTCAATTTGACTCAAACTCAACTGATGATGCACCCAGCTCTATCTTTGTTCCCCTCCCTGGCAAGACAGAGTGAGCCCTCAGAGTATCTAGAAATAGCTGTTCTCAAAGGATCTCTACCCCTTATTCATTCAAGCTCCACAGCCCAGGGACTCACACCAAAACTTCTTATTAACAGTAACTCTGAATGGAAGGATATGTTCTTTGAAATTCAAGATCAAACAGCTAGTTACTGGCTTATAGAAGGTTTTTCCTCCAAGGTCCCATTAACTTTATTTTTTGTTTTCCTACTTCTCAAGGAAAATAATGTGCTCTCTCCCCTAAGACAGGATTCAAATTCTCCAGAAAGCTTCTGCCCTGGGTTTATTGGAAGCTTCATTTCCCACTGTCAGTAACTGAGCCTCCCTTGAGTACCAGGGGTCAGAGCTGCTATTGCTTTTCCATAGCCAAATAGCTGTCCCAACTTCTTCATATAAACAGTCTTAGTTACCTGTCATTTTATCAAGTGCTGCATGTGTGTGATTTTTAGGCCCCTGTTTTGTGAATGAAGTCCAAGTAAACAGTTTTTCTCACGAAATCATCTTAATGGATTCTCTGGTGACAGCTGTTTCCAGTTTCAGCTCTAATTTATTTCTCATCCCTACAGTTTACTATTTGTCTGTCCTCTTACATTGACTCTGGTGTGTATGTAGGATTTTGTCTGTTAGGAATCACTTCTGCATCTTCAGAAACAAGCCTTTAATATTTAAAGAATGGCCTTACAGAAAGTGTTTTGTTCATTTATAGGTTGAGTGCCCCTCAGCTAAAACACTTGGGACCAAGTATAATTCAGATTTCAGATTTTTTTAAAATTTTGGAATCTTTGCATATTACATCAGGAGCTATCTGTGGGATGCGACCCAGGTCTAAACATGAAACTCATTTATGTTTCATATACACCTTACATAGTGTTTTTAAGTTTCCATTTGTGGCATCATATCAGTGTGCAAAAAATTTCAAATTTTGGAGTATTTCAGATGTTGAAATTCTCAGATTACTTAACCTATAATAGATTTTTATATGAAAACTAAATTTAATTTGGTGGTTTTATGCTCACATTTTAATACGCAAATCTTTACCATTTCTTTCCTAACAAACATTGACTTTATCTAACTTTTTCTTCCCTTTGTTTAATTTAAATATCCATGCCTAAAGAACCTGAAAATAAATCAAAAGGTACATCCCAACTCAAACTTCATCATGTGAAATGTTATATATTAAATTTAATATTAAATTGGTTAACATAGATTTTAATTTTCACAAAGTCAAAATATGAAACTCTCCTTGTCTATGTGAAAGCTGTATTTCTTTTCCTGAACTGATGGTGGGTAATTTTGAAGCCTGTGTGTATAGTGAATTTTAAAAATAAAAAATTTGAATTCTTCTGATAATTTGTACCATCTAATATGTCATTGGAATGAATATGTGAAAGACATAAGTGGGAAAGAATTTAATAGAGCCATCCATATGTATCTGGTAATTAGAAGGATGAGTGAGTGGCCCCCCAGCCACTGCTCTGATAAATTATTAACAGAATAATAACTATTTCTGAAATTACTAGAAATTAAATTTATTAAGAGATATGCACATATTCAGTAATCACAGATTTTTTCTATATATTTAAAAATTGCTTAGAAATATTTACTAAATCCTGTTCACCATTTAAACATAAAGGGTGGTGTTTCTTTGTTTTTAAGCCCAGCACCATAGTGTCCAGCCAGTAAAAATGCTATATTGTATATAATAATACCTCTCTAATCTCTTAATTACCAGTAATGAGTGGTTTAGGCACTGGAGAAATAGGCATTTTCTCTCTAATAACTTTTTTAAAAAAATTGTTCTTTGTAGATATACATGACAGTAGAGTGATTTATGACATATATACCATGGAGTAACTCTTATCACTTTAATAGTATCTTTAATTCATCCATTATCAATTGTACTCAACCAAAATTTAATTTTAAGAACATAAACTTGGGAAAATAGATTACCTGTCTGAATCACAGAATAAAAAGAACATACCTTATATTTAATCTCAGTTGAGTTTTAATTTTCTTTAAAATGATAATCATTTAAAATCCAGCACAATCCTATTCTAATCTTCATGATTTTCTCTATAGCATATTAAAATATTAATATCTGATGGTGAAAAATGTAAATCAAACATTTTTTATTATTCAGGTAACATATTTTCTAGTCACTAGCATTCTTTAACAAAGGCAATAATGATTTCTTATGTCCATTCATGACACTAATTCTATCGATCAATAGTTTCCAAACTGAAAATCAAAGTTTGATTAAATATGTGGTAAAGGTATTTGTCATAATACTAGTAGGTTTACACATTTATTAGTTTTTTTTCCTGTTTTCAAAGGGAGTTCAAGGCCATCATGGTGCAAAAGGAGAGGTATGTTTCTTCAAATATGATCTTTGCTCAGCCTTCATTGTTTGGGTTTTCAGTACTGTAAATATCTAGATTTTGGTGTTGTAAATAGAAAATATCTTCTATAGTCTTCAGTAGAAGCTCTTAGTTGGTGGTTTTTAAAATATAGACATTTATCCCTGACTTAACTGTGAGCCCCTAAGAGCAAAAGTCATGTATGAATATGCTTTAAATATCCCTGATACATAGTGGATATTCACCTGGAACATAGTGGATATTCAATAAATGTTTATTAAAATAGTAAAAAAAAAAAAAAGAATGTGGACATTTATACTGACTTAGGTGTAAATTGTCATAGAGTTGAGAAAATCATCAATTATTATTCACAACTGGGATCTGCATTTTTCTATGAAAAGTAGTGTGCATCTCTATATTTATCTACTCACTAGAATGGAAGTGCCTTGGAATAGGACTATGTCATGTCATTGTTATAACTCTGTCGCTGTACAATATGCTCAGTAAATAGTGCATATTTTTGAGTTGCCTAGCTGGATGTGGATGTGTGGATAAATGACAGTTCAGATGGTATGAAATTTCTTTTCTGGTCAATGATGGTATTTTCTCCATAATTTGTATCTGTATATGTACATATAAATCAATAAATATATATATATGTGTGTGTGTGTGTATATATATACATATATATGTATATGTATATATATATATATATATATATATATATATATGTCATATCCTTTATGACTTTTATGATGCAGTTGTGCCTTCTGAAATATTTAAAAGGAATTTCTAAAGATTTACTTTGGCTTTAGAGAGGTGAAAAGGGAGAACCTGGAATCAGAGGTGCCATTGGACCGAAAGGAGAATCTGGGGTGGATGGCCTGATGGGGCCTGTGGGTCCTAAGGGGCAGCGTGGGGAAGCGGGTCCTCAGGGACCTCCAGGATTGGATGGAAAGCCTGTAAGTATTCTGCTTCTTTCAGTGTTTGTGTATTTTTGTTGCTTTTTGTGCTACACGTACAAATTTTATAACCCATGATATTTTGATGCAGGGAAGAGAATTTTCAGAACAGTTTATTCGTCAAGTTTGCACTGATGTGTTAAGAGGTAAGTCTCAAACATAGTTTTTAATAACTTCTTTCAAAGTGCAAAAATAATCCATATTCTTAGTAGAAATTGTGGAAGACATAACCAAAATAAAGAAGAAAATAGACATTTATAAGACTTGCTCTGGGCTTTTGGTATGGATATATTTATAAAGATGAAATATTAAATGTATTTGTTGTTTTTTAGTGAAGGAATTTATTATTATTTCATCATTAATTAAATTATTAACACACATCATGACAAATCAATGCCTAAATATTTTGAATATCTATAATTTGCCAATTTTTGAGCAGGAGGAGCACTCTTTCTTTCTGCCCTATTTTAAGCAGTTGCTATGATAAAATTATTGAATAGAATAATGACTATTTCTGTAAATTACTAGAATTTAAATTTTTTGAGATATGCTCATAGTCAGTAATCTCAGATTTTGTTCCATACATTTAAAAATTGCTTAGAAATGTTATTAACTCCTATTCACCATTTAAACATAAAGGGTGGTGTTTCTTTGTTTTTAAGCTCAGCTACCAGTCTTACTTCAGAGTGGCAGAATTCAAAATTGTGATCACTGCCAATCTCAGCGTGGTTCCCCAGGTGTTCCTGGGCCACCTGGTCCCATAGGCCCTGAAGGTCCCCGAGGATTTCCTGGATTGCCAGGAAGAGATGGTGTTCCTGGACTAATAGGTGCCCCTGGACGTCCTGGTGCCAGAGGACTAAAAGGTACTTAATTTGTTTGAGTAAGAAAATGAACAATAAGGGGGCATTTTAAAATTTAAACCCTGTTATTTACCTAGTAGGTAAAAGTTAATTTTTATTTTCATAATGGAAAAATATTTTGTAAACCCTTAAGCCTTTAAATAATTTGTCAACTGTGTTAAAGAGCAATTGTTCTATTTATTGAATATTCTGTCAGAGAGGTTAAAATTGTGAACATGTGAAGGTACAGATGTTGACAATACATTTAGAAATTTTAATCGAGTTTAATAAAGTCTTTAAAAGAAAATCATAGCCCAGTGTGGTGGCACACACCTGTAATCCCAGTGGCTCAAGAGGTTGAGGTAGGAGGATCATAAGTTCAAAGCCAGCCTCAGCAAAAGTGACATGCTAAGCAACTCAGTGAGACCCTGTCTCTAAAGAAAATACAAAATGGGGCTGGGGTGTGGCTCAATGGTCAAGTGTCCCTGAGTTCAATCCCTGGTACCAAAGGAAAAAAAAATAAAAAGACTCACAGACACTATTTCCTTTATTTTGACTTTGGTGCTTTCTGTACTGTTACCTTATTCAGAATTCTTTTTTATATTACAGGAAAAATTATGTTTTGCCTCATAATTTACTTCTTTGCCTTTGAAATTTTATGTGAAATGTTGTTTGATACTTCTAACCTATTTATTTAATATTACATGAACAATTTGAACATTTCATGAAAGTAATAAAAAGCAAGTGTAATAAACAAATGATGACAAACCATTGTGTTTTCTCAATATTTAATTCCCATTATATCTTTCATCTACACTGCTGATTAGTTTTGAAAATTTTACTTCACAAATTCTGTTTTCCATTAGTAATAAAAAATAGATGACAGACTATATTTGAATAGATAATTTTCTTTCAATGTGTATGTTATCAGCTTTGAGAGAAACATTCTAGAAGGCAGCGATTTTACAGAAAAATCATCTTACTCACATGTTTGACTCTCTGCAGGCCTACCAGGGAGAAATGGGGCAAAGGGGAGCCAAGGGTTTGGGTATCCTGGAGAGCAAGGTCCTCCTGGTCCCCCAGGTAAGAACTGGGGTGTGCTCCTAAGTGTTGCTGTACTGTGTTTTTGTTTGTTTGTTTTGTGTTTTGTTTTTGCTTGGTTGGTTGCTTTTTTGAGGTGGGGTCTCCCTAAGCTGCCCAGGCTGGCCGTGAAATCCAGAGCTCAAGTAATCTTCCTACCTCAGCCTTCCGATTAGCTGGGGCTACATGTATGCACCACCACATCCAGCTTGTTGCATGTTTTGTTTTAAGAAAAATCATCATAAAACTATGTCAAATAATTTGAAGCCAAGACTTTCTTTAATCATTTATAGTTGAAACATTGAGGTTTTGTCATGCATACTATTGGAATTTTGTCATGCATATCTTTTATCCATGAATCATTTAGGATTATCTGTTGTTTGGACTCCTTGGAAGGTCTAGAGCTGGCTGGGCAAAATAACAGGGCGGGGGGGGGGGGGTGACGAACAACTTGTGTAGATTGATGCAGCAGGAGTAGGAGCCTTTTATTGTAGGACAACAGAGGTATTTATACATTCCACACAGCTTATCTTAATTAACATAAACTACATACAGCAGTCAACCAATAAGGAATCTCCACACTTAATGGCTCACTAGCATTACTTCACAAACCACTCCCTCTGGCAAAATGCCAGGTGCCATCCAGACTTGTTTACAGACCTTAATATTAACCACTCCCTCTGGCAAAATGCCAGGCGCCATCCAGACTTGTTTACAGACCTTAACATAGAGTGGTTTCATTCACCTCTTCCTAGCTGATGTGTAAGGCTATTTAGTCTTTATGACTCTTGGGGAAGCAAAATAATGCTAAAAGCTGAGTCTCAAGTAACCTCTGTTATCTGTGCTATTTAGCTTTACTGTGCCTCAGTTACCTTTTTCATAAAATGCATTACGACATTATTGGAAAACTACATGAATTAATGTACGTGGTGCTTTTAGAACAGTGCATAGCAATCAGACTTGTGCTTTCCATAAGAGTTTACTATTACTCTTATTTTAGATAATTCATGAAACTTTTGAGTCGAACAAATGATTTAATACTATTTATCTAAAGCACTTAGGACTTTACCTACAATCAGGGTTAAGCGCTAAGTAAATTTTTATCAATAGTAATAGCAGGAAGTAGAGTAGTAGGAAGTGCTCCCAATTACTGTGCTCTGTCCCTTAATCTGAATATTTTGTTTTTATTTTGAGTCATCGTTTTAGAAAACCAGTATCCTAAGTTAACTCTCCTTGGATATATTAAACAAACTAGCCAAGCTATAGTTGATAAATTACTGTTGTAATACCTGTACATATTGAAGACTAGTATACTATGATAATGACAATGTATTTACATATGAAATCTTATATGATTTAAATAGGCACTTTTACTGCAAATAAGACACAAAATGACTTCATTAAGCTTTGGCTTACTTATATATCACCTGCTAATTTAATATCATATTGATAAAAGACTGAAAGGAAGAAATACGTTCGAACAATCCACAAATCAGAAGGGTAAAATTTTCACTCAGTGTCTTAATTTGTAATATGATTAGGCTTAGCCAATTTTTACAAAAGTTGATATTTACTTTTTAAAGGTTCTTTTGAAAGTGAGAAGCTTGTAGAGAATTAGTGCAAATATGTAAAATGTTCAAAGAATTGTTTTTCAGTTTAAATTTATTGCAGAATCAGCGACTTCCCCATCAAAGCCCAAGTGCCCTATTCACTTGTTGCTCATGTCCTATCTCAGGTCCTGAGGGTCCTCCTGGAATAAGCAAAGAAGGTCCTCAAGGAGACCCAGGAATCCCTGGCAAGGATGGAGATCATGGGAAGCCTGGAATCCAAGGGCAGCCAGGCCCCCCGGGGATCTGTGATCCATCGCTGTGTTTTAGTGTGATTGTTGGAAGAGATCCCTTTAGAAAAGGACCAAACTATTAGTCTGATGCCTCATTCAGCAACCTAGGCATGGTGCTTTTCTTTTGTGGTCTTTTACATCTCAGGAAGATAACCAGCAGTAATCCCTTGAAGAGTAACTAAAGTACCTCGGTGTTTTTATTTTTTTTTTCCTTAAGGAAAATTATATAAAAGGTCACATACTGATTTAAAAGGCTCCGCAATAATTTGGAGCCTTGAGATTAGTAGCATTAATTAAGTCTCAAGGGTTTCTTGTGAAGTCCATTTGTTTTAATCAAAGTTGAATATAAAAATCCACCATTGCCTGTTAACCAGTCCATTTGTCACTGTGAAATACTTCACATTCAGTCTCCATGCAGGGGACTTTTGAGTTTGTGCTTGTGTGTATTTCATGTTGCATATCATAGCTCATGTGTCATATTAGCCAAAATGTATCTGGTCATTGGAAACAAGATCAGGGCTGATATTCATCTAGGATAGATGGTGCAATTGGCCCTCTGTATCCATGAATTTAACTAACAGTGAGTTGAAAATATTGTTTTTTTAACTGTGTCAGTACTGAACATGTATAGACTTTTTCCTTGTCATTATTCCCTAAACAATACAATATAATAACTATTTACATAGCATTTATCTTGTGTTAGGTATTATAAGTAATCTAGAGATGATTATTTAAAGTACATGGGAGGATGTGCATGGCTATGTCCAAATACTATGCCATTTTATAAAAGGGACTTAAGTATCTGTGGATTTGGTGTCCGTGGGGCGTTGGTAGAAGTCCTGGAACCAACCCCCTAAGGATACTGTGGTAGGACTGTGTTGTCACATGAGTCATTTACTTTGGTGTCTGTGCTTATTTTGTTTAGGGTCAGTGGACTACTTGTTGTTCAGTGTGTTTAATATCACCTCTGAATACATTTAATGTGTTTCTTATTTCACTTTCAAACTCCAAAATCAGATCCATGATAATGCTAAGAAAGTGTACTGCTTACATTTGAATGGTCCAAATTAACTAACATTAAAAATATTTTAAAAGTAATGTTTCAGTGTATAATATATTCAAAGGAAACATCACTTCAGAAGAACTAAGAAGACTTCATACTTACTGATTAATTGAAATGTTTGTTGTATGCCTTCATTTTTCATTTCACTTATATGTGTATGTTCATGTATGTTATTTTCATTTTAGCAAAGCTAAAGGGAATAAATGCTGTAGTTGAAAGATTATTCCATAAAAAGATTATTCCATAAATCTTAGTATGTTTTCATATCTTTAGTACACTTCAAACTATTACAAACAGTCTTTGTGTACTGTACTTAATGCTTTTGTAAGGAACAGAATTGAGATATTTTGTCTTTGTCATGCTCAAAATTTTGTTACATTCTTGTTATCGGAGTACAATAAAGTTTTGTATGAGCCTGAGTATGGTCTTTTTAAAAATATAAATAAATAAATAAATTTACATATATATTTAAATATATAATATAAATAAATAAATATACATATTAAATATATATTTAACTGATTGTTGAGTTTATCCATATTCAGGATGACTTGTATATCATTTCACTTACTAAATTGTTTACCCTATCCTCAAAAAATTGGCTCATCTGAAAGAAGAACCTACAAATTGATTTGGTAAGATACTTGCCCCAAAAGGTGGAGCACAGCCTCCTTGCCCAGTCATGGCCTTTGATCAGTGTTTAGCTACATCTATGTGCAGATTACACTACTTTGATGAGGACTTTGGAGGAGATTAAAGTCCATGCATTTCAGTAAGCACATGAATATGAGGCTATTTGTATGTTATCTCTCCAGCAAAGCCCAAATATCTGCTTAGGCCTAACAATCCTACTACCCTGTTCTAATTATGGCCTTTGCTTCTAAGACCTTATAGAGAAACAAGATAGTTGGTATCATGCTGTCATTCAAACAGCATTTACCCCTGACCATTAAGTGTTAGGCACTGTACCTGGCATAGATGGCAATAGAGATAGAATGTGGCCTGAGGGAACGCATGTCTAATGAAACACAGGTAAGTAATTAGGTGATTCAAATGCATTAATTCTAAAAAAGAAGTGCTATAGAAAAGTATAAGATGATATTATGGACTCAATTGCACTCTCCCTTCATATGTTGAAGTCCTGTTGAAATCCTAACTTTCAATGTAACTATTTAGAGACAATTAAGATTAAGTGAGATCTTAAGCCTGTGATCCTATAAAAAGAGCTTGCCTTCCTCCCTCACCTGTTCTCTCCCCTCTTCATGGAAGTACAAAGTCCAAAAGCCTCTCTCTAATCTGGGAGAGAGCCCCCACTAGAAACCAAACATGCTGCCAACCTGATTTGAAATTTCAGCTTCCGGAACTGTGTGAAAGTAAAGTTCTGTTGCTAAAGCTACCCAGTCTGTGATACTTTTTTATGACATTCCAAGCCAACTGATGTAAGTGCCTTTGGGGAAACCTTCTCTAAAGAAGAGGATTATAAATATAGATTTGAAAGTTTAGGAGGCATTAGCATAATCAAATCTTGTAAAGATAGTGAAAATGAGAATAGCCTAGAGGATCAGCACAAGCATGAGGAATTCTAAGAACAAGAAAACCTATGGGATATAAACCATATCTTCTTTTAGTATTTATGTTTTTTAAATTGGTGTATCATGAACTATTTCTTGTCAATTATCATGGCATATTTTATGCCTCAAAATATTTTTCCTGTGGTCAAAATTTAGACCTACCCACAGAGCACCTATTTTTAAAAATGTGTAAGTGAATAATTTTGTCCTACAAAGTCATTTCTGCACTACAGTATTTCCTTAGCACTATATTACATTCAGTGCCTTTTAATTCATGTTGTCATCAAAGGCATGGCTTCTGGGCTGGGGTGTAGCTCAGTAGTAGGGTTCTTTTCTATCATGCATGAGACCCTGGGTTCTATCCTCAGCATGGCAGCCACAACCACAACCACAGCAGCATGGCTTCCATAGTGAGACTGCCTGGGTTCAAATTCCTACTTTGTTTCTAACTGTGAGTCTTCAGAAAATTCATGGAACTCATTTGTGTTTCAATTTCTCTACATGTTGAATAGGGAAATATTAATAATACCTTATCACACTACGAGGATTAAATGAGATTAAATGAAAGAAATTTATCAGTGGAGTAAAATAACACAATTTACCAGAACCATACAGACAGTGTGGAGTTAGCAGATCCCCAAAGTGAAACATTAAAACACTTATTCAAAAAATTTTACATGTGTAACTGATGCTGAGTAAAGTTAAACTAATTCATCATCATTCAGAATAAAACTGTGTCTGAAGAATAATTCTCAGTAAAGGCTAGTTTGTCTTTGGTATTTAGAACTTTATTAGGTACTCACTTTCAATTCCAACATGAAGACAGTTTTACTTTGAATGGAGCTGGAATTTATTCTTGATCTCCAGCAGAGGGCAGCAAAACACATAAATCCACCCCCACCCCAGCTCCCCCAGCTCATTGTATTAATCACAGAAGTTATCACTATGCATTTTCTCATTTTTCAAAATAGTTATTCCAAGGAATAAAAAATAACTTTTCATACTAAATCATAGTAGATGATGCATTTATATTTGTATGCCCTGACTGTCTGCTTTACCTTTGTGTGATTCTGTTAAAATACTCTGGTGATTGATAACTAGATTGTTAGAGGAGATATTCAAATGTCACTCCTGGTAACAGTCACGAACCTGGCCTACTGTAAGGATTTCACCTGTGTTGAGCATGGGGGAGGGAAACTGTCCGTAATATCATCTCGATATTTCAGCTAACTGTTGAAGGACCTGCTTCCTTGTCCTGGTAAGATAGGTTGCATCCAATGTCAACACAAGAGACCATCTCTGTGCCTGAAGCAATGAGAGCCTGCTGTTTGAGGATCCTAGGCAGCAGGAGGAGAAGCACAAATAGAACTTCAAATTTAGAGTCTTTTCTGTAGTTGTAAATGGAAAGAGTAAAAATCAACCCATACATTAGTTACATTAGTTAAATTGAGCTGCAAAGGTTTCTCTTTGGAATGTTTTAACAAATGTTCCTGTTAAAAGTTCCATGGAAATTTTAATTTTGCCCCAAATGACACATTTGAAGTAAGGAACATTACTGTAATGATAGCCCACTAAATTATTCCTGGCTTATACTTTCCCCAAAAAAGATTTCCAAAGAGGAATTTTAAATAAATAGACATCAAAAGCCCTCTGTTGATATTTCAGATAAAACAACAACTTGCAATAGAAACTGAAGGATCATTCTGAATAAGAATTGAGAAGCAGTAAAGTGTTTTCCATAATTTATCCAATTCAGCTGCTGTTTCAAAATAGTATAGTTTTTACAAATCACACTTAGAAAGTATCTATAGTTCCTATTGACATCCAAAGTAAAATTAATTATGGCATTTATCATTTTTGGGGAAAAAAAGGTAAAAGTAGTTCTGTGTCATGTGATCTAGAGTGACTCTTAAAACTTCCCTGAATCATTTTTTTTTAATCTATAAAAGGTTTAACTTACTCTGTTTTTAAACCCTGGCTGTACTTTAGAATTTCTTAGGTAGTTTCTAAGAAATTCCCTTACTTGGGCCCAGAGGTTCTGACATAATTGGTTTGCTTTCCAGGCAGAGGAAATAACTTCTGCAAAGATCTTAAGCCAGTGCCCAGTTCAATAGGAGGGAAAGTCCTTCTGTATTTTCAAGTTTTAGAACGCTGATGGTGTGGCATGGCAAAAGATAAGCATAAAGACACTGGGAATAGGAAAAGGAACAGAAAAGGAAAGAAGAGATGTCAAAGAAGTTTGAAAGATTTGAAGGAGGAAATAGTAAGAAGAGATTTGCCTTCTAGATGGATCACTTTGGTTGTAGGGAAAACAGATGAAACTAGGGGAGACTCTAAGTGGAGAAGCTAATTAAACTTCATTACAGTGGCATTAGGGATAGTGGTGAAAAATAGAGGCAAAACAGAAGCAGAGAGGATGGTAGAAAAAAAACAAACAACACTTCAATTT